TATAACCAAACACGAATTGTCAAATGAATATAATTCAAATCCAAAGTATTTGGAATATATTGGCACAATCACTAAAAATATAGTAACCGCATTAACAAATCCATAAAGTTCTAAAACAGCAATGAAAATGACCTATATTTTTCATGTCAAAACCATCCACAAATATCATTCAGAGTTAAAGACAGACTTCTCACTGTAACGGAAGTAGAACGAAAGCAAATGACAAGGAGTGGGGGTTTAATCGGCTCGTAATTTACGACGGCTTAGTACCCATGGAGGTCAAAGTTCACTAAAAAAGTAGACAAATTTTCTGCTGAAGCCCGATTACCACAACTAGTGGCCAGTTTAACTCTCAAGCACCCTGTAACCCAATTTACTTCAAGAAACACGCACTCAAATTCAACATTCAAAAGTAGTACACAAATAAGCAATTCCCACATTCTTGGTAAACTAATTCATAAAAAAGCTTGAGAAATGCGTTATAATGCAGTAGATTACCTTGTCAACAGCTGAACCCAGATCAAATTGCCTCAAAAAATCTGGCAAAGAATTTCCCTCAGCTTCGATCTGAACTCGACAACTACTCAGTGGGTTATCAATACGTGATAATTCTGCAGAGGGCAAGTCCCAAAGTTGAGAATCTTGATAAGAATCATACTCAGGATCGTTGAATTTGTGAGGTGGGCTTTGCTTGATGAAGACAATCTCGTCGTCGTTTGATGGGTTCCTCAAAATCACCGCCAAGATCACTTTTTGAGTGCCCATTTGATTTGGTTGAAGCCAAGTGAACACACACTGGAGTTGATGACTTGATCAAAGGATATTGTCTAACACATCATTCTATCAATGCAATGATACTTAATTTGAAATAGCAAATAAAAATTTCGGGAAAAAAAAAAAAAATTCTGGTCTAAAATATTTACTATTGAGTGATATCTTTTGTCAAATTTTGAAAAATTCGGCCTAAATTAATGTAATTAATGTACATAATTATTTTAATCAAATATTGTCGGCTATTATTTTTATTAATTGCATTATTTAAATTTGAAATATAATATATTGATAAAACTTGCATCTATTATCTTTATTAGTTGCATGATTTATATTTGGTATATAATATATTGAAAAAAAATAAAAAGATTTTTTATTTAAAATTAAAAATAAAAAAAAATAATTATTTATAACTTACGGGTTAATATTAAGTGGTGCGTAAATAGAATAATTAATTATTTACAATTTAGTAAACTACTCAATAACTTACGGGTCAATATTAACTTAATATAAACGGAATAGTCAATTACTTATAGTTTCATAAATTATTCAACTACTTAATTTTTTTTTATCTGAATAGTTTATACAAAAATAAAATATGTTAAATATTGAAAAATATAAATTTATATCTATACTTATTATTCACATAGGTTGTTAAATATATGATAACATTTTACCAAAATAACTATTTTATGGAATCACATTGTAGCAAAACGAATTTATGAATAACAATATTGAAATGATATTTATTTTGAAACGAATATAATTTAATTTATTATCAGTTATATGCACCACACGGGTTGTGTACTAATTTTAAATGAGATTTTTATGCAATTTTGTACAATTTAAAATCTATATAATATTTTCAATAAATTAGTATAGCATTACATATTGATTCCATATTCTTAATTTATAAATATTACTTTGTTGTTACATGGAATTAACAACAACCAAATTGGGGTGTATTTTAAGTAAATCTAAATGTTTAGCGATGGAAAGCCTGTATATTATATCTGGAAATGTAATTTGTAGCAGGATGGTATTCTTGTCTGTTTGGGAAATTCTCTATTTCCCTTTTATATTTACATACCATAATTATCCGTACAATAATCATTACATTTTGAAAGGTCAAAGGCGGTCCTTGGTGGTTTCTCTTGA